CCATCCATCCATCCATCCATCCATCCATCCATCCATCCATCCATCCAGGGCTAATGGTAAGGTCACAGATGTCAGAGGAGGACCTGCAATGTATACTATAGGAGTACAGTCCCTTTTGAATTTTTCAGAACCAGTTGTTCAAATTCTTTTAAGACAAAATGAGAACTCAGCCACTAACGAATCTCTACAGAAGAGAGCCCAGGATCTTCATCTAGAAATTAATACTGACATACTCACCCACTCTGCCTTTTTGTCTCTTATTCAATTATATTTAGAAAAACACAAAATATGTATTTATGGAATACTGCACGGTTTTCATAGATGTATATATTATGCATGTTTTTAAAAAGTGGATACATCTGTGCCTTATATTTATTATTTCCTGATGGTGAAAACACACGAAAGCTTTCTCCACGCTTTACGAAATGCACACTGCATTGTCACCTATGATAAGACTACTATGCAGTAGCATACCACAGCTTCTTGATCTTTTCTAGGATGTAGTTCTCATCTATTAAATCACCACAGAGGTGATTTACACCTTTCAATCTTCGTTTCTAAAACAATACACACACCATACTTTCATTCATCTATCTGGAACACGAAAATATAAGTGTAATCCCAAAAGGAGAAAGATATCAGAAGAAATACTCTAGAAGTAACATGAATTGAATAAATCATACAGATACTACTGAAAATGACCTGGGTTGGCTATGCTAACATCAGACAAAATAATGATTTATTACAAAGCCTCTCCTACAGACAAAGAAGTGCAAAATATGCAAGTCAGAAGGGTCAACCCATGATAAATTGTGTGTCACAATAATTATGCTTATGAGTTTATGTTATATGCCTGTCCTCAGCTTCAAAACTTGTAGAATTTTAAGAATATAGCACATATTCTTGATGATCTTGATTTTTTACATTTGTTGTTCGTTCACAATAGTGAAGACTAATTAACAACGAAGTGTTCTTATTGTTCTAGAAAATTGAAAATAATGAGCACTCTACTTCCCTATCAGCTTCCCTATCAGCAAAGACAAAGAAGCAACAATCTGACTCCAATGTATTTTTTGAAAACATGCAGAAATCCTCATCAACTTAGTACCAAACCAAATACAGCAGCAAATTGTACACCAAAAGAATCCAAGGGTGGTTTAACACAAGAAACAATAAAATATACTATATTGATAAAAATCAAATGCATAATTACACAGTCTCGAAAAGTGATGGAATTTTGAATACATTTTTATGAAAAGAATTTTACAAATGGGTTGAAAGAGAAAATCCTCACAAATAGGAGACTATCACAGTAAATCACAGCACTGGATGATGTGAGGCTGAAGGATTCTCTTTTAGACAATAACAAGCACAGACTCCAGACCAATTTTTGCCACTTCTAGACAATTTTGAATGGAAATTTGTAGCTATAGAAATTAAGTAAAGAGAAATGGGATCCGAGAAATTCTTATGTAAATGGATGGAACTAGAAAATATCATCCTGAGTGAGGTAACCCAATCACAAAAGAACACACATGGTATGCACTCACTGATAATTGGATACTAGCCCAAAAGCTCACAATATCCAAGATACAACTCACAGACCACATGAAGCTTATGAAGAACGAAGACCAAAGTGTGGGTGCTTTGGCTCTTGTTAGAAGGTCTAACAAAATACTCATGGAAGCATATATGGACTCAAAGCGTGGGACAGAAACTGAAGGAGGGGCTGTCCAGAGACTGCTCCACCTGGGTATCCACCCCATGTGCAGTCACCAAAGGTAGACATTGATGTGGATGCCAGGAAGTCCATGATGACATGAGCCTGATATAGCTGTATCCT